CTACTGCTACTGCTACTGCTACTGCTACTGCTACTGCTACTGCTACTGCTACTACCACTACCACTACCACTACCACTACTACTACTACTACTACTACTACTACTACTACTGCTACTGCTCTACCTGCTACTGCTACTGCTACTACTACTTACCACTGGCGCTGCCACCGCCATTATCACTATATTGCTATTACGACGACCGCTGCTCCTACTATGACTTCGACTTTGTTTTCATTACCACTAGTAGCACAGCTGCCACCGCTCGATTCTCGAGTCGCGATCCTCGACCCTCGAACCTCCATTCTTGATTCTACTAGTATACTGGAACGATTGCGCCGTTTACTTCTATTAATACTTCCATCACTACCACTACTACTACTACTACCACTACTACTACTACTACTACTACTACCACTACTACTACTACTACTATTGCTACTGCTACCATACTACTACTGCTACTACTACTGCTACTACTACCACTACTAGCACTAGAACTTCTACGACGACGACTATACTGTCACTACTACCACGATCACCATTATCACTACTAGTAGTACTACTACCACTAGTGACACTACTGCTACTTGCTTCGCGGTTCTCGATCCTTGAGCCTCGATCCTCGATGCTTCGAATTGCACACCGTTACGGGAACAACCTCGTGAAGCCAACCCTCAAAAGGTTAAAGCCTTTCAGAAAGATTTAAAACTTGCGGTTGCGTCGGCGGTTTTTGTAGATGTAAACTACATTGCATCTCAACACCTTTGTCTGAACACTCAACATCTTCATGGCCACACCTGTATATGCACATCGGCGCGTAAGCACTCTTTAAGTCAACAGCTGTAAGCAAAAATCACCGCAGGCGTGTTAAAGCAGTCACCTCACCTGCGTCTCTGCACATGTGAGACGCTGTCGATGATGCTGATGATGATGATGATGATGACGAAGGTGATGATGATTGTGATGATGAAACCAAGAGGGACACTGAGGCTCACTCAACATGAGGATCACACTGATGATGAAGATGATGACGATGATGTGACGCGATGACGATGATGACGATGACGACGATGACTATTATGATGATGCTGGTGAGGATGGTACTGAGGACAAAGATGTTTGCGATGGTTGCGATGATGAAGACGATGACGATGACAATGATGGCTGGACAGTTGAAGTTGGCAGCCGTTCTTTTTCAGAACCATTCGGGGGAAACAAATGACCAAAAGGGGCGGATGGAAAATGTGGACCTGCCGTGAAGGCAGGAATGGTTTCTATAATGTGAGCAAGGCCTTCAGATTGAGAGGCTGAGGCGCCAGGCGCGCCCAAAAAAGAATTATGCACTTCACAGCAGGTGTTCCAGGCATATTTGACGGCCAATCTGTTTTCGTTCTCGAATATCGAATTCTTGTAATTGCCTTCTGCCTTCTTCGAGGGCAATCCTTGAAGCGGGTCTCTGAAATAAAAAGCTTTTTACATCAATGATAGAGACTTGTCAGAGGCGGTGCACCTGATCCCATATAGATGCATCGGGTCCTGGAGAGGCACTCTGCGGTGTAGCCATTCGTCGGATTTCGGCCTCGTGTCCTGCGTTGAAATCTTTGACCCGTTTGAATTTGAGCATGTTCTCTTTCACGTCGGGTCATACTTGCCAGAAACTCTCCAAACTAATTCCAGTTGGCTTTTCCGTTGTCAGGGTTGGGCCTCAGCGTTACTCAAGGGCTCGGATTTAATCTAGGATTTTTTGTTTTTTTTAAGGGTTTTTTTGTTTTTCGTGTTTCGTGGCAGGTGCAGTACTTTGTGGACCTTGAAATGCTACTTTGTGGGCCTTGAAATGCACATTTCGTGGCAGGCGCAGGACTTTGTCGATGTTG